TCTGTTTGACAAGGTATGGGCAGCTACACACGGTGCCGTTTCCTCCTTGGCTGACTTCCATGTATAAGACACCCCTCAATTTTTAGTCTAACGATTTTAGAAAAAAATAGTGTCTTATACACAGAAAAATATGGTATCTTCTCAATGAAACTTTGCTTAGATGCTGGCCTTGTGATCACTCTTAATTAACTACCTCGGTCTTAATGTAATTTCAACTATTTGGGGTTTATTTTTCAAGTATGGATTTTGTCTTGATGTTTTCTTACCAAGTTATTCAGAGTAGATTATAGACAGTTTAAGATCCTAAGTAGATATACATGGAATGTGGTTGTTGTGGAAAAACAAAACAAAACACACAAAACAACCCACATCTTTATGGCACTAATAAACCTCAAAATACTCTCAATATTTCTTGTAATTTCACAACTGTAAGATTTATTTCCAACTACTTATCTTTTATAGCAGGGGACATCACGTTTTGTTATAGATAGCAAAATAGAGAAAATATCAATTTCTGTATCTGAAATTGGTTTGGTTAAGATGGAAAGCTGATTAGTTCATAATTAAAGGAGTACATTTTTTATAAGTAAGAGACTAAGCAGCTGGCTTAGAAAACCTCAGCACCCACAAGTTGAAAAGCATGGGGTGTGGTGAGCATGTTCATATTGCAACACATGAAACCTGGCTGATTTTCCTTAGAAGCTTCCCAGATGTGAAAGAAACAAAAATATTTTTTTAAAAGACAATGTTGAACACTTGGAGTTCGAGGGGGGTGGGGGAGGGGGAGAAGGGTAAAGGGGATATAAATGGTGATGGAAGGAGACTTGACTTGGTGTGGTGAACACATAATACAATATACAGATTATATGCTATAGAACTGTACACCTGAGACATATGTAATTTTATTAACCAATGCCATCCCAATAAGTTCAATAAAATTAAATTAAAATTTAAAAAATACATATTCCCTTAGAATCCCCTAAATCTCCTGACAGGCAACCACTGTGCTGGACAATATCGCAGTAGGCAGCTACCTGGCTGGGCACTATCGCAACAGGCAGCTCCTATTGCCAGAGGCAGCTTCCCAGCTGGGCACTATCTCAAGAAGCAGTTACTATCAGTGAGGAAGTCACTCATGAGAGGAAGTCACTATTTCCTCTTGGGGTTGACCAGGCAGGCAGGGGGGGTGGGGTGGGCATCTGTTATCTGCAAACAGCCATCAGCCTCTCACCCAGGCTGGCCAGGCACCCCAGGGGGGACTCCCACCCTGAAGGGGCTGTGGCCAGCCTGCAAACAGCCATCAGCCTCTCACCCAGGCTGGCCAGGCACCCCAGGGGGGACTCCCACCCTGAAGGGGCTGTGGCCAGCCTGCAAACAGCCATCAGCCTCTCACCCAGGCTGGCCAGGCACCCCAGGGGGGACTCCCACCCTGAAGGGGCTGTGGCCAGCCTGCAAACAGCCATCAGCCTCTCACCCAGGCTGGCCAGGCACCCCAGGGGGGACTCCCACCCTGAAGGGGCTGTGGCCAGCCTGCAAACAGCCATCAGCCTCTCACCCAGGCTGGCCAGGCACCCCAGGGGGGACTCCCACCCTGAAGGGGCTGTGGCCAGCCTGCAAACAGCCATCAGCCTCTCACCCAGGCTGGCCAGGCACCCCAGGGGGGACTCCCACCCTGAAGGGGCTGTGGCCAGCCTGCAAACAGCCATCAGCCTCTCACCCAGGCTGGCCAGGCACCCCAGGGGGGACTCCCACCCTGAAGGGGCTGTGGCCAGCCTGCAAACAGCCATCAGCCTCTCACCCAGGCTGGCCAGGCACCCCAGGGGGGACTCCCACCCTGAAGGGGCTGTGGCCAGCCTGCAAACAGCCATCAGCCTCTCACCCAGGCTGGCCAGGCACCCCAGGGGGGACTCCCACCCTGAAGGGGCTGTGGCCAGCCTGCAAACAGCCATCAGCCTCTCACCCAGGCTGGCCAGGCACCCCAGGGGGGACCCCCACCCTGAAGGGACTGTGGCCAGCCTACAAATAGCCATCAGCCCCTCACCCAGGCTGGCCAGACACTCCTATATAATAAAAGGGTAATATGCAAATTGACCCTAACAGCAGAACCACTGGGAATGACTGGTCACTATGACACACACTGACCAGCAGGGGACAGACGCTCAATGCAGGAGCTGGCCCCTGGTGGTTAGTGTGCTCCCACAGGGGGAGCTCTGCTCAGCCACAAGCCAGGCTGATGGCTGCCAGTACAGCGGTGGTTGTGGGAGCCTCTCCTGCCTCCTCAGCAGCGCTAAGGATGTCCGACTGCAGCTTAGTCCTGCTCCCCGCTGGCAAGTGGACATCCCCCGAGGGCTCCCGGGCTGCCAGAGGGATGTCTGACTGCCAGCTTAGGCCTGATCCCCCACGGAGCAGGCCTAAGCCAGTAGGTGGTCATCCCCCGAGGGGTCCCAGACTGTGAGAGGGCACAGGCCGGGCTGAGGGACCCCCCTGAGTTTTGTGCACCGGGCCTCTAGTGTAATAATAATAAGGGAAAAAATACAATATGGTCTTGAATGGAGAAAAACAAACAAAGAACCCTTCCTTGGATTGTTGTTGTGAGGACGAGAAAAGCATCTGTCCTTTAGCCGACACTATTAAGTAAGTAGTTGTTATGATTATTATAATATCATTGATGCTAGTTTTGCAGGACTTGACTTTTGTGTACTTCTTTGAAAACTGGAGGATTCTGTGATTACATTTCTGGAACTGCCCAGAGAGCTGCAGGTTATTCCTCAGCGCCTGACCCTCCCTGGTCAGATTTCCTTTCCTCTCACCAGCCCCTAAGGCCCTAACATGCCCACCTCAAACTGAACCCCGAGTGATCCAACCTTTTAGAACTTACCTGGGTCCTTCCTCAAACAAAACCCCTCTGCATTAAGTCATTGTAAGCTTTGAGCCCTGCCTTATTTTCCTTTCTATCGCTCCAAGCTTTCTGGATTTCTGAGGGATCAGTGAAATGTCAAAAGGAAGAATAAAAATAAACTGGAGACAATTATGTTAATAATCTTTGTCCTTACTAAACTTGGTTTTCACAAATTAACAAACCCTGGTGCTTTCTCCAGACTGAAGATTCCTTTCAGTTTTGTTTATAGTTTTTAACATAATCACAGTGTTCCAAAGTACAACTTCTCGAGGTCTTACAGTTCAAGAACTCATCAAGGAAAGTATGCAAGATGCCCAGCTTCTTTTCAAAGAACTATTTTAGAAAATATCTCATAAGTGATAAAATCAAAATATCAACCCCAAACCAAAAATATAAGAACTACCCAGCCGAATCCCTTTTCCACTAAGGAAAGACTATGAACTTCTGAATCATAGACAATCTGAAACTCACAATCACAACTAGCCCCCTTGTTGTGAATCCTTTGCAAAATTGCCACCCTGTACCGCAATGATCTATACCTGTGGTTGGCAAACCACGGCTCGCGAGCCACATGCGACTCTTTGGCCCCTTGAGTGTGACTCTTCCACAAGATACCACGTGAGGGCGCGCACATACAGTGTGATTGAAACTTCGTGGCCCATGCGCAGAAGTCGGTATTTTGTGGAAGAGCCACACTCAAGGGGCCAAAGAGCCACATGTGGCTCGCGAGTTGTGGTTTGCCGAGCCACAGTTTGCTGACCGCTGATCTATACTAATAATAGAGGAATATACAAATTGTCTGGGACGCCGTCACAGTAACAGTAATGACCAAACAGCAGGTTGCATGGGGTGACTAGGCCGACAGGGGTGTTAGTGAGGGATGACCAAACGACTGAACAGCAGGTTGCATGGGGTGACCACACCGGCAGGGGGGGCAGTTGGGGGTGACCAGGCCAGCAGGGGAGGGGCAGTTGGGAGCGACAAGACCAGTGGGTGGGGGGAAGTTAGGGGCGACCAGGATGGCAGAGAGGGACAGTTGGGGGTGACCAGGCCCACAGGGGGGGCAGTTGAGGGCGACCAGGCTAGCAGGGTGGGAAGTAAGGGGCAAGCAGGCCAGTGGTGGGGGGGCAGTTAGGGGCAATCAGGGAGGCAGGCAGAGGCAGTTAGGGGTTATCAGACTGGCAGGGGGGGCAGTTAGGGGCAATCAGGAAGGCAGGCAGGTGAGCAGTTAGGAGCCAGCAGTCCCGAATTGTGAGAGGGATGTC